TATTTTCTTTTTTTTTCTAATCATTTTATTGGGTGATATGTTTGGTTTCTTACATTTTCTATTTTCTTTTTTTCTTTCTAATCATTTATTGGGTGATATGTTGGTTTCTAATACATTTTCTATTTTCTTTTTTCTTTCTAATCATTTATTGGGTGATATTTGGTTTCTATTTTTCTATTTTCTTTTTTTCTTTCAATTTTTTTTTTTCTAATACATTTCTAATCATTTTATTGGGAGATATGTTGGTTTTCTTTTTTCTAATCATTTTCTATTTTCTTTTTTTTCTTTTTCTAAATCATTTATTGGGTGATATGTTGGTTTCTAATACATTTTCTATTTTCTTTTTTTCTAATCATTTATTTTATATTTTTTCTTTTTTCTTTCTAATCATTTATTGGGTGATATGTTGGTTTCTATTTTCTAAATCATTTATTGGGTGATATGTTGGTTTCTAATACATTTCTATTTTCTTTTTTCTTTCTAATCATTTCTAATTTTCTTTTTCTTTTTTCTTTCTAATCATTTATTGGGTGATATGTTGGTTTCTAATACATTTTCTATTTTCTTTTTTTCTTTCTATTTTTTGGGTGATATGTTGGTTTCTTTTTTTTTCTTTTTTTTCTTTCTAATCATTTATTGGGTGATTTGGTTTCTAATACATTTTCTATTTTCTTTTTTCTTTCTAATCATTTATTGGGTGATATGTTGGTTTCTAACACATTTTCTATTTTCTTTTTTTTTTCTAATCATTTATTGGGTGATATGTTGGTTTCTAATACATTTTCTATTTTCTTTTTTTTTTTCTAATCATTTATTGGGTGATATGTTGGTTTCTAATATATTTTCTATTTTCTTTTTTTTCTTTTTTAATCATTTATTGGGTGATATGTTGGTTTCTAATACATTTTCTATTTTCTTTTTTCTTTCTAATCATTTATTGGGTGATATGTTGGTTTCTAATAATCATTTTCTTTTTTCTAATACATTTTCTATTTTCTTTTTTTTTTCTTTCTAATCATTTATTGGGTGATATGTTTGGTTTCTAATACATTTTCTATTTTTTTTTTTCTTTCTAATCATTTATTGGGTGATATGTTGGTTTCTAATTTTTCTATTTTCTTTTTTTTTTCTTCATTTATTGGGTGATATGTTGGTTTCTAATATTTTCTATTTTCTTTTTTTTTTTCTAATATTTTTATTTTTATTTTCTTTTTTTCTTTCTAATCATTTATTGGGTGATATGTTTTTTACATTTTTCTATTTTTTTTTTTTTTCTTTCTAATCATTTATTGGGTGATATGTTGGTTTTCTAATACATTTTTATTTTCTTTTTTTTTCTTTCTAATCATTTTATTGGGTGATTTAAAATTTTTTCTATTTTTGGGTGATATGTTGGTTTCTTTTTTTTTTTCTTTCTAATCATTTATTGGGTTATGTTGGTTTCTAATTTTCATTTTCTTTTTTTTCTTTTTTTCTTTCTTATTTTCAAATTTAATTGGGTGATATGTTTCTATATTTTCTATTTTCTTTTTTTCTTTCTAATCATTGTTGGTTTCTAATTTTCTATTTTTCTATTTTCTTTTTTTCTTTCTAATCATTTATTGGGTGATTCCATTTCTATTTTTATTTTTTTTTTTTTCTTTCTAATCATTTATTGGGTGATATGTTGGTTTCTAATAATTTTTATTTTCTTTTTTTTCTTTCTAATCATTTATTGGGTGATTTTAAATTTTCTTTTTTCTTTTAATCATTTATTGGGTGAAAGGTTTCTAATACATTTTCTATTTTCTTTTTTTTTCTTTCTAATCATTTATTGGGTGATATGTTGGTTTCTAATGAATCATTTTATTGGGTGATATGTTGGTTTCTAATTCTATTTTCTTTTTTTTCTTTCTAATCATTTATTGGGTATATGTTGGTTTCTAATACATTTTCTATTTTCTTTTTTCTTTCTAATCATTTATTGGGTGATATGTTGGTTTTTCTAATACATTTCTATTTTCTTTTTTTTCTAATCATTTATTGGGTGATATGTTGGTTTCTAAGACCTATTTGGGTTTTAAAATGAATTTTTTACATTTTCTATTTTTTTTTTCTTTCTATCTTTATTTTTTTTCCTTTTTTCTATTTTTCTAATACATTTTCTATTTTCTTTTTTTTTCATCGTTTTATTGGGTATTTTTGGTTTCATAATTTTCTATTTTGGTTTTCTTTCTAAAGTTTATATTGTTTAAGTGTTTTGAAAGAATTTTTTTTGTATTGTTTGCTTGATAATATTTTTTTTCATGGCAACTTGTTTATGTAATTTTGGCTTTTCATTTTTAAATTTTTTATAAGAATACATTTTTCTATGGACCTTATAGTCATTTTTGAAACTGGATAGATTTTTTTTTTTCACAACCAATTGATGGTTGTTTTAATATGTTCAAACATGATGCCAGGTTATATGTTCACTTTCCCCCAGAAACTGTAACTAAGGTCTGCTCAGCATAGTTGCCATATAAACCACAGGTGGGGCTCTGTGGGTGTTGAATAAACACAAATACAAATGTTTTTTACTTACCAGATGAAGTGATCTCGTCTTCAAAATGGGGGGATTATAGAACGTGGTCCACTTTGGAGCTTGATACAGCAGCCATAATAGCACCCTGGAGAATCAAACAAAATCCTTGAGAAAAATATATATATATATATATATATATAAATATAAAAAAAATCGGAAAAATCTTTATGTATACAATCACAAATTTAATGGCAAGCAATTTTCTGGAAAAATTTTGAAAAAAAAAAAAAAAAAAAACAAAAAAAAAACAAAAAAAAAAAAAAAAACAGACAACATGCGTTGAATGAATGTCATCATTTGTTGAAAAAGACACCCCTACCATACCTTAACTTAACCTAACCTCTTTTCAAAAGTAACTCATATTTTAATACAATAGTTGTCAGGGAAAATGAATACCCTGCCACCTCTTGTCAAAATGATTGAATTTCCCCGTATCCTTAGCAACTAATATTAACAATGTATGTGCTTATAAAACTCAGTAAATTTCAAAATAATTTATTCCAAAATTTGCTTGAAAATGAAACAGTACTAGGGATTTTAATTTAATTCTATAATTAAATTTGAAGTTTTTAGTTTGTTTTGAAACATGGTAATTCCTGTGAGCGATGGAACCATATTTTTAAATTAGTAAAATATATATATATATATATATATATATATATATATATATATATATATATAAATAAATAAAAGGAAGATTATTAAATAAATAAATAAAAAAAACAAAAAAAAAAAAATTGCATTTTAAAAAAAAAAAAGGTTTTTTTTTCATAGGGGATATAAGTTTACATATGAACAAACAAATAATCACTAAAAAGATGCATATTTAATAAAACATAAGCATCTCATCATGTTTTAAAAAAGATGGTTAAAAACAATTTTATTTAAAAAGATTGTTTATAAATCTTTGTTCAAACAATGATGTTTAGGCATTTCAAATATGTATTTATAGTGATTATTTGTTTGTTCCTATAATATTTCATAATAACTATTTTAAGTACTTTTTCGTATTGAGCCTCTTTTAAAATAATATTATGAACATTTGAATTTATATTTCTTTTCGTTCTCATTACATTTGTATGTATATATATATATAAAAAGAAAGAACAGTAAGATATATAATCCGGTGTTCTTATAGATATTTTTATTTTTAAAAATAGTGCTCAATGTAAATTTACAGAGCATTAATATTATAAATTAATTGATTTAAAATATGTTTTTTTTCATACACAGTTCTAACCATGTTTCAAAAATGGAAGCTGAAAGTTCAATTTAATTTTCTAATTAAATTAATACATTAGTTCCATTTCATCCTCAAGCGAATTTTGGAGTAACTTTTAAAATTACTGGGTTTTAAAGCCACAGCGAAAATCATAATCCACATTTCCAAGGATACAGAGAAATCCATTCATCCAGACAAAGGGTGTCTGCATGTTCATTATGGCTGTATTTTGATGTATCAGTTATTAGTTACGTTTTTGCAGGGGTAGGGATGGATTTTTCAATGAAATCTGACATACGTTAAATGCATGTTGTCTGAATTTTTTTTAAATTTTATTGTTAACGTCAAAAATTTTTACAGCATTTTTTTTCTATTTGTATATTTAAAGATTTTTGGGGGTGTTTAGGTTAGAATACATTTTACTTTTATTTAACTACGATTTGAAAAATATTTTCACTTTTAATATACTACATGTCTTTTAAGAACAAGTAAATGTATTAGAATTCCTTACAGTATGTAGAATTATTTTCACATCAAGTATAAGTATGTATATTATTAGGTAACAAATTATTTTTTTTTTATATTTAAATATTATTTAAGTAAAATTTATGACAATGATGGCAAAAATAGCTAATTAATTTCACTGATTTAGTAAACTTTTATTTTTTATATAAACCCAGTAATATATTGTTTCTCATGTAAGTACAAAGGACATGGGTCATTCAATGACTTACATCTTCTAGCTTTTCATATTAATTTCATTTTACTATATGTGTTTTATTGGATTCTTTTAAGTGCTTGTAGTACTTAGAGGGAGGTCTTTAGGTTAGAATATGTTTTATTTAATTACAATTTTAAAAGGTGTTAAGGTTAGAATTCGTTTTATTTAACTACAATTTTAAATACAACTTTAAAATATTTTCACTGTTAGTTTTAAAAGAAGTAAATGTATTAGAATTACTTACAGTAAGTAAAATTATTTTTCCATATCAAGTATATAAGTATGTATATTATGATTTTTAAAATTTTATATTTAAATATTAAGTAAAATTTAATGACAATTAATGCAAAAATAGCTATTTCTCTGATTTAGTAAACTTGTACATGAATATTTGTTTCCCACCATTGCGCGTGTAAACTTTTTATCATTGAAAAACCCAGATGACACATGAAAAACAGATGTCATTGTTTGCGAGTAGGCACACTTACCCCAACTTAACCTGATTTTGAAGGCGGAGGGGGAGAGAGAGGAGATAGAAAAGAGGGGGAGAGAGGAGATAGAAAAGAGGGGAGGGAGATAGAAAAGGAGATAGAAGATAGAAAAGGGGGGAGAGGAGATAGAAAAGAGGGAGATAGAAAAGGGGGAGATAGAAAAAGGGGGAGAGAGGAGATAGAAAAGAGGGGAGAGATGGAGATAGAAAAGAGGGAGATAGAAAAGGGGGAGAGAGGGAGATAGAAAAGGGGGAGAGAGGAGATAGAAAAGAGGGGGGAGAGATAGAGATAGAAAAAAAGGGGGGAGAGGAGATAGAAAAGAGGGGGGAGGAGATAGAAAAAGGGGAGGAGAGGGGAGAGATAGAAAAGGGGAGAGAGAGGATAGAAAAGAGGGGAGAGAGGAGGAGATAGAAAGAGGGGGAGAGAGGAGATAGAAAAAGGGGGGAGAGGAGATAGAAAAGAGGGGGAGGGAGAGAAAAGAGATAGAAAAGAGGGGAAGATAGAAAGGGGGAGAGAGGAGATAGAAAAGGGGGGAGAGAAAAGGAGAGATAGAAAAGGGGGGGGAGAGAGGGGGAGAGGAGAAAAGAGGGGAGGGAGGAGAAAAGAGGGGGAGATAAAAAAGATAGGGGGAGAGAGGAGATAGAAAAGGGGGAGAGGGGAGATAGAAAAAGAGGGGGGAGAGGAGATAGAAAGAAGAGAGGAGATAGGGAGGGGAGGAGATAGAAAAGGGGGGGGGAGAGGGGGAGGAGATAAAAAGAGGGGAGAGAGGAGATAGAAAAGAGGGGGAGAGAGGAGATAGAAAAGAGGGGGAGAGAGGAGATAGAAAAGAGGGGGGAGGGAGATGAAAAGAGGGAGAGAAAAAGGGGGAGAGGAGATAGAAAGAGGGGGGGGAGGAGAAAAAGAGGGGGAGGAGGATAGAAAAGAGGGGGAGATAGAAAAGAGGAGAGGAAGAAAACAGAGCAGTGAGAAAGAGAAAAAAAAAATGAATGTCACCTTTAATTTTCTTCGTGCATTAAACTTTTTCATTTCCTCCACCGTCTCCTGGAGGTGGATCTTGGTCTTTTCCTGAAAGAAACAAAAATTGACAAACACAAATGTCCAAGCATTGAAAATATCAAATCTTTTCATTATTAAAATATGCACTCAATTTACATTCCCAACATAAAAATGGAATCAAATTCCACCCTACATCCCCCTTCCCCCACATGACATTTTTGTTTGCCCATATGTCTGCTAATAGGACAGGGAGAGGTGGATTCATGCTTTTGAAAAAGGCAGTTATGCAGAGTAAACAAAAGCAAGCTTAACAGAAGTTTGAATTCAATTGGATGGATTCTATTTTCATTGCCAACAACTATCACATGACCTTGCACATCTCTTTTATCATATATATATATATATATATATATATATATATATATATATATATATAGCAATAAGAATGGTTAGACTTATTTTACTTTCAATTAAAAAAAAAAAAAAAAACAAACACAGCCGACCCATTTCATGGCACCACTATAAATGTAGTTGCAGTGCCAACTACATAGGTAGAATGACCCAACATTTAGATGCTAGAATACAGCAGCGTATATCTAGAAAATAGGGAATGGAAGATTCCATGTAAAGGACATTCTGAACAATACATAGTTTCTCCATCACAGAGCATCTTATTAAAAAAAAACAAATTGTGCTGCTAACTTTAGCATTGACTCGTTTACTATCTTGAGTCATGCTTGATCTATGTCGCAGATAAAGGTGTTAGAAACAATTTATATTCAGTCCAGACAGCCCTCCCTCTGCAAACAGTGTCTGTTAGGACTAAACATGATTTCAATTTATTTATTTCATTTATTCAATTGTATTCCACCTTCATTAATATTACACATTGTTTTGTTGTTTTTTGTTTTATTTTCTTTGATCCAGCTCTGTTGAGTGAGGGTGAAGCTGGTCAGCTGTGTTTGTTTTTATTTTTTGCTTTTCTTTTTAATCATGAAAAGTAAAATAAATCTGTTTTTATTGCTATAATAAAATTCTGTACCCCATAGAAAATTTATATATGTCTGATTGAATAAATTACAAACATTATATCTGCTAATTTTTAACAAAATCTGTTCATACTCATGAATAATCTTCCATGTATTCATATTAAAGGATGAGAGAAATGTGCTATAACTATTTAAATTTCTTTTATTTTCATTTCCCAAGTACTTTCGATCTTCTTTCAAGATCATCTTTAGGGGTGCAAGTAGTACAAAACTATATGTTGTTCATTAGTATAAGTATTTATACAAAGCTGTGCATTGATATTCATTAACATAATTTTTCATTAAGCTTTTAAATGTAAATGGTTGACAATGTGCTGAGCATTCATTAGAATGTGAAATATTATCTATTATGGAAGTTTTTTCATGTTATAATGTCATGGTCATGTGTGCATTAAAGCGTGAAAATACTGTTCCTTTACAGGCATTTCAGAACATTACTACAGTATTCATAGTTGATTCTGTTCAGTGCCAGCTGTAATTTTTTTTAATATAAATTGCTTCTAGGATATGTAGCTTGAATTTCTGTAACTTATTCAATCAGACATGACTAAAAGAGAATTTGCTGCCTAAATACACACACACACACACATATATATATATATATATATATATATATAGGTGGAAAAAAGTTTTCCTGTGACATGTTTTGTCACGCAAAAACATTTTTTTCCACTTTGTCATACATCATCCCACCAATATTGTTCTCAATATAAATTTTATATAAAACACAACCATGTACAATTCATGAGACAGCATTCAGCTGTAAAGATGCTGCAAACATTATATATGAATAAAGACAAAAAGAAAACTTATTTTGTCCTCTGATGGACTTCATCAAGGCAAATGTAAAGATTTTATTTTGCAACAAGTATTTATAAACAGAAGTAAAAATATTGTTACATCAGGTTAAAAAAAAAAAAAATTCATCAACAACATTTACTCACATTCATTTATTAGGCATTAAATTACATCACTTAGCATCTTCCATAATTTACCATGACTTTCAATTAGCCAAAGTGTATAAAAAAAAGGAAAAAATAAAGAAAGCAAGATCCTTAGTTCCACACACTTTCTAAAATCTGACTAATCAGAACTTTTATGAGAAAGGGATTGATCAGGCTGAGAACTTTTCATATATGTATGCATGTGTTCACATCACACTCATATAGCAACAGCCAACTGATAGAAAAAGCATTTACCATATTTGATGGCATATAAGATGAACTTTTGTTTTTTTTACTAAAAATATCTTTTAAAATTTCCCTGCGTCTTATATGCCATAAGAAGGTTTACTAATTACTAATTTTTTCTTAATTTGCCATGCTGAAATTTGGGCTGAGTCAAATACAGTATTTTACATTTATTCAACATAATCTTCTGTATCCATGCATTTAACATAATCTTAGAGTCAGAAAAATACTTTTTCAAGGGAAGTAACTAAATTTAATGTTTAACAAGGTAGTCTCCCTTGTATTATAATTTTTTTTTTTTTAAACATTTTGATTAAAAAGGTTTACAGGGTTTATTCTACAGAAACTGATATTTAAATTTAAACCCTTCTTTCAATTGTGAAAAAAAAAAAAAAAAAAATATGGCGGTGGCTTCTGAAAAGCAATATACAATTAAAAAGTTTCATAAATTCTTTTAAGTGGTAGAATTTAAAAATGTATTTTGAGATTTCTATTTGGTCAGTTGAAAGAAAAACCAGCCATTTTCTGCTTTTTATAATGATTTTACCTCGGTCCTGTGCAATGAAACCCCCCCAAAATATTTTATGGCATCTTCTTCATATCATTTTGCTAAATACTGCCATGCATTTTTAAAAACAGATATGTCAATAAATATCTCTGAAACTTGTGATATGCTAAAACTTTTCCACCACGATCTTCGGGCGGTTTGAAAGAAAGGTGATTTGAGAAAATCATGATGCCAAAAATTATTTGTAATCAATTTAGATGACTGAAAATTTTTGTCTTTGAATGTTTGTTTACACTTTGAAGCACCATTGACTTGGTAGAAAGAACATCCTGGAATATTTATAGGTGAACTATATATTGTTTTTTTTAAAAAAAATCGTTTTTTGAATTTTAGTAATATTGAATTTATGAATGAATTTATTTCTGGAAAGGGAATTTTTTTTAAAAGAAATAATCTCTTGAAATTATTTGTTAAAATCAATCATCCACCATTTTATTTAATTTTCCATCGAGACAGGTAACTATTTATATAAAAGGTCATCAGAGAAATTAAATCAAGAAATAAAATGAAAATATTTTGTTTGGAAATTTTTTTTTGTAGCTTAGACATTTGTATTGTACAAGAAAAATATCAAAAATATAAAGTAGAAATGACTCAAAACATTTTCCAGTTCAGAATTCAGTCATCGATATTTTATCCAATGAAAAGGTGCATAACATATTGCCTTAATACTTTTCAACCAATCAAATTTGTATTTAACAAATTATTTCAATACCTTTAACAAAATTGTTTAAAAAATACATGGCAGTACTTATATCTATATTGGCAAGAAAAGTTCTGAAAACTGTTTTCATGGATTAAATTTTAGAAAAATTCATGTTCAAGATTGATTAAAAGATTATTTGAAAAGCAAAAAAACATGCAAATTATATTTTTAACAAGTTGATATTATAAAAATAAGAAATGAAAAATCCAAATGAATCATGAAGGAAAGCATTTTTAAGAAAAGAAAAGCAACTGCACAACAAAGGATAATTTTGACAGAAGCATTTTTCAGATGCAATTTTAGTTGATTAGAAAAGCATGATACTCCACCTGATTACAATGCATTTCAGCATTCAAATCAATTTCATACAGAAACACACAAGAAGATGTATGGACACACATTTATGAAATAGATAACAAAATCAAGGACACAACATTATTCACAAATCATAATTATTAAGAACTTTCAGGTAATATGAGTAGTTATTCCATATTTATTTATTAAGCCTTAAAAAGTTCATAAAGGTCAAATTTTAAAAATGTTTCTCTTCAATGCTAAGATCTGAAGATCAGACTATTTAGTCACTTGATTTAATTAACATTTCTGAGAAGAGGTCATCCACATTTCAAATATTGTTTGAAAATTCTCTTCCTCTATCTTTGATTTTGCCAACACAACATTTTTGACCAATTCATTCTCTGGTCTTCCCCAGGTGTATTATCCATAAGAAACTCCCTTTACAGATGGTACACCAAACTTTGTATTAGTAAAATCAATAGCACGATGAGATTATCTGGTAACAGAGCACAAATAATAGCGATTCATTTTTACAGAGGAGACTTTGTTAAGTTATTATTTTTGTTTAAACATTATTTTTGATGGATACTCATACTCAAATAGAAGCTCCGTATTTTAATTAAACTCTATTTTCTATCCAATCTGAATATTCAAGAAATTTTGTTAGAAAAATGTGTCCTCCAGCCAGATTTGAACCTGCATCCCTTTTGGGGGAACTATCATTGGATCTGACATGCTTGACTGCTCAGCCATGTAGGACTTCCACTCAAATAAAGCCCAAATAAATCCACACACTCCCTGCTGATTCTCAAAACATCTATATTTGCTCTGTATTGTATCCTAATGTAAATAAAGATAATTTATTTTTTCAGAATGGATTAAATCAGACATATTGTCATTTTTAATTCATTTTGTTTAAACGTTATTTTTAATGGATACTCATATATGAGTAGAAGCTCTGTTTTTTTAATTATTGTCTTTGTTTATATTAGGATACAGTTCACAGCAGATATGGATGTTTTGAGAATTGGCAGAGAGTGTTTTCTGAAATTTATATAGAAATGTGTTTTTAGAAGCATTGCTGATAGGGTTCAGTGTTATTTTGAACATAAAGGGGAGCATTTTGAACATGTTAAATAGTTTTTTAATCATAAATCGTGTTGTTTTCATGTGACAATAAAATTATAAAATTTCTGAAAATTATAAATTCTTATGAATTTTCTTAAACTACTGTCATTTATTTTTGTTTAATAAAAGCT